ATCTCCTCCTTGCTCAGCCGGCCTGTCAGTGGGGGAACGTGGGAAAGCTCAGGAGCAGAAGCCGATGGCTCCTGCTGCACAGCCCCCACTCCTGATGGACCACCTCCAAGACAGGACAGTCGGCTCGCAACTCACGAGCTTTCCACTGGCGCGGAAAATAAAGAATATTGAATATTGAATATTGAATATTGAATATTGAATATTGACACGTTTGCCAAGCACACCTTGCGGGAGCTCGTCAGCAGCCTATACAGTCGTCTTATTTACTTGTCTTTCCTGTTTTTAAACTTAGATTTAATGTCTTGAATTACGGTAAAAGGTTATCGGGGGGGTTATAAGGGTTACAGGGTAAAATTCAAGTACATTTACGAGCTGTTAGCAACTGTTAATGCTGAAGATATAGACCCTGTACAGGGTTCAAGTAGGTAAATACCCAGAATTGTAGCAGGACGTCTTCAGAGTCACGGATCTGAAAAAAACCACAAGTCCTAGAATCCGCAAACCAGTGGGCAGGCGATAGTCACAACCGGGTAGAGACAGCGCAACCGAGCCCACCCATCCAGAACGCACAGCCGGGATCGGAATCGGGAGGCAGGAGGCGAGAAGAGACCCACAGTGGAGAGACGGTGCGCGCACTCGCGAGCTCCAGGAGAGAATCGTCATAGTGAGCGAAGGTCAGGGGGAAGGGGAGGGAGAGTGGTGATGGGAGTGAAAGGTGGTGGGGGGACCCGCTCCGGCGTGGGCGAGCGGACTGCGAGTCGACTGCACTTCTGTCTCGGCCGCTGGGATCTGCTGGCACGATCGGGGCTGATGATCACAGCCGAGACCCCCGGCACAGCCCTGCCCGCGGGCCCCGCGCTCACCCTTGTCGTTGGTGATGGTGATCTTGTTCTCCTTCCCCGTGCTCTTGTCCACGGCCGAGACGTTGAGGATGCCGTTGGCGTCGATGTCGAAGGTCACCTCGATCTGAGGGACCCCGCGGGGGGCCGGGGGGATCCCCGTCAGCTCGAACTTGCCCAGCAGGTTGTTGTCCTTGGTCATGGCCCTCTCGCCCTCGAAGACCTGCGGGGACAGAGGAGGAGCCACAGCGGTCAGGGGCCCGGACTGCGGTGGACAGAGCCAGCACCTGAGGCACACGAGAGTCACGTGGGCAGACACACTGGACAGACAAAGAGCGATCTCATAGACTCTCACACAGACCGGTGGACGGCAGGAGGATGGACAGACAGAGGAGCTCACAGGCAGGTGGACAGACGGATGGACAGGCTCACAGACGGACAGACTGGCAGGTGGACACGGAGCCGGACCTGGATGAGCACGCCGGGCTGGTTGTCGGAGTAGGTGGTGAAGGTCTGGGTCTGCTTGGTGGGGATGGTGGTGTTCCTCTTGATCAGCACGGTCATCACGCCCCCTGCCGTCTCGATGCCCAGCGACAGCGGCGTGACGTCGAGCAGCAGCAGGTCCTGCACGTTCTCCGACTTGTCTCCCGCCAGGATCGCCGCCTGGACCGCTGCGGTCAAGCACGGGGGAGAGAGACCGGTCACTCCACAGCCATCTGCCTAGGCCACTACCCGCTGGCAGATGGCTTGAGAAACCCCCAGACAGAGAACAGATACTTTGTAGAGGCTGAAGGGGACAATTCAGAGCAGCCAATCAAATCTTATCCACAGCAGTGTGGAGGAAACCTTAACCTTCAGGCCCTGAACCACTGGACCAGCTGTCCTCCTGGTGTAACAGGACTGGACCTGAACCACTGGACCAGCTGGCCACCTGGTGTAACAGGACTGGACCTGAACCACTGGACCAGCTGTCCTCCTGGTGTTACTAGACTGGACCTGAACCACTGGACCAGCTGTCCTCCCGGTGTAACAGGACTGGACCTGAACTGTAAGGCGCGACACTGCCCCCTGTAGGGAACACAGCCCTCCGACATCACACACTCCCGTCAACAAGGGCACTATGGGATAGCGGAGGCACCCACCGGCTCCGTACGCCACCGCCTCGTCCGGGTTGATGCTCTTGTTCAGGTCCCGGCCGTTGAAGAAGTCCTGCAGCAGCTTCTGGATCTTGGGGATGCGGGTGGAGCCACCCACCAGCACGATGTCGTGGATCTGGGCCTTGTCCAGCTTGGCGTCGCGAAGGGCCTTCTCCACGGGCTCCAGCGTGCCGCGGAACAGGTCGGCGTTCAGCTCCTCGAAGCGCGCCCGGGTGATGGAGGTGTAGAAGTCGGCGCCCTCGTACAGCGAGTCGATCTCGATGCTGGCCTGCGTGCTGGACGACAGGGTGCGCTTGGCCCTCTCACAGGCCGTCCGCAGCCGCCGCACGGCCCTCTTGTTGTCCGTGATGTCCTTCTTGAACTTGCGCTTGAACTCGCCGATGAAGTGGTTGACCATGCGGTTGTCGAAGTCCTCGCCGCCCAG